TCCCTTGTTCAGACATGTCATCGTCAACAGTTAAGTCGAAACTAAAAACATTATTTTCTACTTTTGGGGTACCTAGTTACATACATTCGGACAGAGGAACATCATTTCTGAGCCAAGACTTAAAAAGCTACTTGAACTCACTTGGAATCTCAACTAGTAGAACCACTGCGTACAATCCAGCAGGTAATGGGCAAGTTGAAAGATATAATGGCATTCTATGGAAAACAATTGAACTGGCGTTGAAATCACTTAACTTAGAAATAAACCAATGGGAGACAGTTTTAGAGGATGCCCTCAGCTCAGTGAGATCATTACTTTGCACAGCCACAAATCAAACTCCTCACGAGCGTATGTTCTTACATCCACGTAGATCTGGGAACAATGGTGTTTCAGCTCCTTCGTGGCTTCTAAATTCCGGCCCTGTCTACTTGAAGAGATTCAATCGTACGTCCAAGTATGAGCCACTTGTTGAAGAGGTCCAACTTCTTCACGGGAATGCCGAGTATGCTCATGTTAAGTTGCCTGACGGAAGAGAAACTACCGTGTCTACACGTCATCTTGCTCTGGTTGGTGAGTACCAAACCGACATAGAGCAAACCGATTTTGAGAGTGATGAAAATATTCCATTACCCACTTCTCAACCTGAACCTGAATACTTTCCTAGTCCATCATCAACACAGAACCAAGAAGATGAAATGAATACTACTGCCGAGAATTTACAACTTAGACAAGAAGCTTCTAGAGGAGAGAACCATAACACGTATCCGAGAAGAAGTTTCAGAAGCAGAAGACCTCCTAATTATTTAAATGACTACGTTCATTAACATTAGGGAGGAAGAATGTAGTAAAAAAAACATGTGTCTCCAATTCTTTATTATTGTTTTGTTGTGTTTGTAAACAAGTCCATTATAATTCAATGTAGTATTGTTCAAGTTATTAAAAACCTTTCTAAAGGTAATAAAAGTTCTTTTCATTCATTCTTACTCTCATTACATTTCACTATTGGATTACATACCACACAGACATCACTTTGAAAACCACTTTTTTGGGTCCAGGGGGACCCAAAACACATATATCCACTCAAAACTCAAACTCGAAAATGTTGACGAAAACAAAACTTTCTCCATAGTCCATATACTATGGTATAGGGGGAGAAAGTAAAAAGTTCATTTTGGGAAACAGCCTAAGATTAGTGTAGTATTACACATAAAATGGGTCCAAATACAAGGTGTTAATAAAAGAATGCCAGGATTTTAAACGATTGTTGCTCGGGGACTATTCAAGATAATTAAAGGATTTATGTGGTATTCCCAGTTTCAAGAACAAAATGATTAATTATATTGGTTTACTTTATGATTGCAAGGATCATGAGCTTAAACTTCTACATTCATCAAGAACCTGGCAATCATAAGGTAAACCAACATAAATAATTAAAGGATTTAAGCGTCAAATTGAAGGGAAAAGAACAAAGTTTTTTCTCATACTTTGATACAGTTCGGAATAATTTAATAAAATTCAAATTTTCATCAATCTTATATGAGGGTAAAACTGGCTAAGTTTGTACGCTTAGGGTGATTGGCGGGTTTATCTGATGTCTTAAATGAATCTTTTTAGGCACAAAGAAAGACTATTTTTTACAGATAACATCGTGAAGTGTTGACTTTGTCGGGCAATCGATTTTTTGGGGCTTCTGATGCAGAATTGTCGGATTTATTCGACTATGTCATAGCTCGTTCACAATCGATATAATCTCTGTGAACCACGGATTACACACTTTGAAGTTATTTAGCTTCAATTTGATGTTGAATAGTATCCAAGCAAATACCTTTTACAATCCCGGCATTCTTCTAAAAACATCCTGTATTTTTTGATCCGCTATTTTTACTTTCTATCCCATATGGAGAAAGTACTGTTTTTGTCAAAATTTTTGAGTTTGAGTGTTATGTGCGTTTTGGAAACCCCTGAAGTTTTCCAAGTGATGTCTGTGTGTGTGAGTTACAGACCACCCCAGCAGTCTGATTTTGATGAAATTTGGTATGTAGGTACCGTACTAATCCATGGTTTTTTGTCCAGGCGTTTCTGTCATTTTTTTGAAATTTTTATTTGTAATGGTGATTTCCCCATAAAATAACGGAAAATGGCCAGGTATGTGGGGTTAAATCCAAAAACAAAAAGGCCTTATTGTTTACAAAGTTTCATGTAGCGTATTTAATAATATAGATAGATAGATTTGGTTTTACTCTGTGATCTTGTGTTGAAAAAAATTGCTGTAAGCCCTAGTGGTAAAATATATTATTTTAATGATTCATAGTTAATATAGGGAAAAGGAAAAGACAAACGTTCTAATAAAAAGTAGAGGTGACAGAAAAAATTTAACATTTTTTCAGTAACTGAGTTAAGACAATGAATACAAACCTTTTAAGAAGCGCTATGCCTTTGTTAAAAATTCAGTCTGGAAATATTTGAATGTTGGATAATTCCCGCGGTAGCCGCTGGGTAGACTATCGGGAGTGCGCGGCCAAGTCAGCTGACTAAATGAGAGAGAGTGAGACAAAGAATCAGCTTAGAGAGAGAGAGAAGGATAGAGTAGCGCAGCTGCACAAAGCTCATTTTGGCGGCAAAATTCCAGTCTGACTATTCTCTATAAGTATTTAGCTTCTTAAAGGGTTTGTATTCATTGGTTAAGACTAGAAGTGTTTACTTTTTTAGAATAATATAATTTTAAAAAAAATGTGTTCTTAATTTTTTTACTACCAACAGGTGAAGAAACCAAGTTAAATAGGCCTACTTTATAACCATAGACAAGGGACATAGCAATAAGAAACAAACAACACATTAGTAAACAATATTTTATAACAAATATAAAACTATACAAAATCAGAGACTGTTTGTATCAAGTGTATAGTTTCAATTTACAAATGCAAGAATTACCCTTGTACAGATAAGGTTTCATAGAGTATACAAATTCCTTAGGAATGATTGGCTTAACAAGAACAATACAAGAAAAAATCATACATCATTGTAAAACACATATAACTTAGTTGCACAGCTTATATATAATAACTCAGAACTTAAATTTGATTTTTTTCAATAGTTCTACTCATGCAATCAAAAGCATTACTTTAGACAATGAAAGGGATGATACCACCAAAGGCGGTCCCAGGAGGGGTCATGACCCCCTAACATATCGTATAGAATAATAAGCTTCTTTGCAAATACATAGTTTCCTCAGATAAGTTATTGTAAATTTAAAGGAAACTTTAACTTGTACCGTTTTGCAAATTGTCAATCCAATCTCATTGTATACACTTGTTGCAGTCACCAGTCGTCTAACTACAACACAAGATGACTGAAGTAAATACATTGGCTTCACTAGGGTCAGAATTAAATGTTCAATCATTTTTCAGACTCATAGAAGGCATGGATCGATTCCAGTGTTTGCTTGCCCTCCCAAAAATCTAAATAAATAGTTTGAAGAATATTTTTTGAAATTTAAAATTATTCTAAAAATATAATGGTTTGATAAGTTGTATTAATGAGTATAAGGTGTTACACATATTTAGAAACCTTGTTACGAGAGTAGAATAAGTGTTCTCCATGACTTGTTACTCCGTGAATCGAGGTATATAGTAATTAGGTTTCATTGGACTTTATGGTGCTGTGAATGAAATGAGATTTTGTAAATTATTCAGGCAATTGATCCTGTAAATAATAGTCTGATTTTTCATGTGTTTTTATCCACTCAAGATAGTTAAATTAAAAATAATATAATTGTTTACATTCTTACTTGCTTTTATTATTTTACTTTACTACAACTGGAAATAGTATCAAAATACTTATAATCAAGACCAAAATATGAGAAAATAGAGGAACAAACTTAGCTTCAACATGAAATGTTCATGAAAAAATAGCCGAGACATGTGTATCTCACTAAAATTTTAAATTTTCTTAGTGGGAGTAGCCTCTGACCCCATGGTAAGTTTGCAGCATATATTCCATGCCCCCAAACCATTAACCTCTAACCCTGTGCACCTGAAAAATGTTAGGCTTGGACCGCCCTTGGGTGATGCTATATCTCAGCATTGATAAACTTATCTCACTGGAATGTGACAAAGAGGAAAAAGAAGAAGGGAATGCATTCGATACAATAGTCAAAAGAAAAGAAGTAACATATATCATTGAGCAAATAAATATCACAAGTCCTCCTGACATGGTTAAGCTCCTCATTTGCAACGTGACCAACAGCAATGCCAACAGCAACTGGATGTTTTTTTAAATGGTTAGTAAACAGACAAAAGTAATTGTTACGAGGAGGAGGTGTTACATATTGTTGTATGTGATGCCATTTTAGTAGCCGTGGATCACTGCATGATCACATCACACATTGCAGCCACTTTTTTGAGTTCACTTTCAACTTGGACGCCATTATATCGTTCCCAGCTGAAATACAATTCTCAGTTGGGTTGACTTAATTCATTGGCTGTGGTGTGAACCATGGAACTGGGAAAGGTTATTTCAGGCATCGGTTATATATGTTTGATTTTTCCTTTGGGGGTTTTCTTAAATCTCAGTCTGCACTGGCAAACCCCCAACACTGGTGAATCTTAAGTATGAAATTAACAAGAGGCCAGTTTGTTGTGTCCTTGAGCTGCTGGGACATGCAATGGAAGACTATTAAGGAGAAGAAATATATAGGATGGAGAGGACACAGCTAACTCACCTGATGAAAGACGAGTCAAAGAACACATAAAACACACACATAATAATACTTGATATTTCGCCTCTTTCAGAGGCTTCTAGGAAGTAGGCCTAGATGGCAGTTGCAAGAACAACAGTTACAAACATATATACAGTTGCAACAGTAACAAACTTTGTAACAATTTAAACGATTGTTCTTGCAGCTGCCATCTAGGCCTACTTTTGAAGAAGCCTCTGAAAGAGGCGAAATATCAAGTATTATTATGTGTGTGTTTTATGTGTTCTTTGACTCGTCTGCAACCTTTCATCAGGTGAGTTAGCTGTGTCCTCTCCATCCTATATATTTATTTAATCCAAGCTAAATGCTTTTTACTAAAAACATTAAGTAACCGTTAACAACTGGTAAGTGTAGTTAACTATTTTTAGTTAGTATTGCATTACCTAAATGACATTGAGTTACCGAATATTTTAGAGTATTCAGAATATTTTAGTGTATTATAATTTACACAAAAACAAATGAGTAGTCAGTGCTTATTAACAAATCAGAGAGCATACTTCAATAGAGATTACACAACTTAAGACTACCACTCACATTTTAGAATAATAGGCCTACCAGTTACACCAATTGGACATAATGACAAGTCTCCCCAAGCCGAGAAAACTTTTTTGTCATACTGCAGCAAAAAGCTGTTTTTAATGTGTGTGTTGCCAATCTGAGGTAGTTGTCCTATTTAGCACAAGTGTAAAAAAATCAGATGTAGTTAAGAGAGTCTGCTAATAGTACATTAGGTTAATAGTCTGGAAAATAGCTATTTGCCGTATGGTTTTCCCCAATAATCAAAATATTCATTTTGTAGCTAAGCTAAAAGAATGGTGCAGAAAAAAAAATATAGTTTGGGTACCTAATTAGTCTTTTCGACCCTTGATCATTTTCTTGGTCACTAAGCTTGAGTCACTCCAGGCCCCAGTGATGGGAAATACTATTCTAACAGAGACAGACCCTAGTACAGTTGTATTGTAATGATCAATTCCAGATTATCTTGTTGGTATGGAGGTCTAGGGTGATGCGTCCAGTAGCTAGCAGTCTCAGAGCCTCAGGGAATATCTCATGTTCAGCCAGCTTGACTCTCTCACTCAGAGTATCCTCTGTGTCACCAGCCTCTATGTTCACTGCTCTCTGGGCGATGATAGCTCCAGAGTCTATGTCCTCCTGTCAACATTTCAAGTTTAAGGCTCCATTTCAATGATAACGAGGGCAAGGGTTTTTAATTGGTAAGGGGGTTAGTTCATTTAGTGGACAAGAAGTTTTTGTACAATGTTTCGGAATTTGGAATCTGATTTCCTCAGATGAGAAAGTACCTAGTTGTTTTCTTTCAGTTTATCTTGTTTGGAATACTAGTTCTCTGAGTGTGGTTTTTCTTTGGTGATTTTCCAGCGTTGGCTAGGGTTATGTATAATCTTTTTATGTATTGGGTTCTTTCTCATCTAACAAAAATCTGTCTTGAGTAATTTTTCTAAAATATTTGAGAAAGTAATAAATTTAAGATTGGTTAGTTATTTTGAAAGCAATCGTCTATTTAATAACAATTTGGATTCAGGAAAAATTCAAGCACGGGTTCTGCACTCCCACAGTTTATAAATGAGGTTACCCAGGCTTTGGACGGGTCTCAGGCTACAGTTGGTATTTTCTGTGACCTGTCCAAGGCTTTTGACTGTGTTGATCACTCAGTCCTTCAGCTCAAGCTGAGTGATTATGGGATTAGGGGAAGTTGTCACTCTCTATTGTGTTCTTAGCTTTCTAATAGAAAACACAGAACTGTAATCACACTGGATAAGATAAAGTACTATTCACCATGGAAAAACCTATCGGCAGGTGTGCCCCAAGGTTCAATCTTAGGTCCTCTATTCTTTCTAATTTACATTAATGACCTCCCTTAAGCTATTGATCAGGAACCAATTATTTTTGCAGATGATACTACAGCCTTGATAATAAATAATAACACTTCTAAAATGCTATCTTCTCTTGAAAATGTGATTCATGACATGGAGGGTTGGTTCTTGAACAATGGATTAAAACTTAATCTTGAAAAAACACAAACAATACAATTTTCCGTCAGGATCAATGGTGATTAAATCCCTTAAATTGGCTACGTCCCATAAATTTCTGGGTATTAACATAGATGAATCACTTGAAAATGGTTTATTATGCTTATGTAGAACAAGGCCCAACTAGAAAAACAGGACATGCTGCAGCGCAACACTACGTCACAGTGGTGGATAGTTGTACTAAAATCTTACCATTAAAATCTGACAATCAGCCATTCAGCCAATCATCCACAGGAGTCCATTAGCACGATAACTTACGTAAAATTCATATGATTTCAATGAAATTTGGTACAAACAGGATAAACACACATTTATTTGAATGAGCTTGATCGGACTATGGGAACGGGGTTTTTTAACAGTTTTTATGGGGTGAAAATAGGGTTTTCCTGTTTTGACCCTCAAAACATAAAATTTTCAATTTTTTAAACCATTTCATTTAACTTTAGAAAAATAATAATTTAGTAACGGTACACTGAAGCATAAAACATAAAAGTTACAGAGAACATGTTTAAAAATCTGTTAATTCCAAATTCTCATGTTATACTTAAGCCCACCATGGTCCGAGTTATACATGGTTATACATGGTCCGAGATGTCTGCCGACTCATCCGACTCCGACCGTGTGTCGGTAAAACAGACTGGGTCCGCAGACAGTCGGACATGTCCGCGGTCGGTTAAGGATTCCAGACGGACTTGGCCGACACAACCGACCGTGTCAGACCATGTATGGGATCACCAGTCTTGGTCTGCGTACTGCCAGTTAACTTCAGTTATTTTGTGGACGTTATAGAGTAAACATAAAAAATGTGCAGTGACATTAGTCACAATCAATTAATGAAAATCAAATTACTCTGTAGGTTTGCTGCAGCAAGGGTATTTACTTATCGCGATGGAAAATGTCCTTAATTATCCCTCAAAGAATATATAACACACATTTAATCTCAAACATATATATCTTTAAGTCGCGGCTTAGTTCAGGGAAAATTAGGTAATTTTTGATAAGAGGTTGGCAACAAGACTAACACCTTCCATTAGACCAATCCCAACAGTGCAACCCTTTTGTTCATAAATGGGGATGTTTTACAGCCTTGTAGTCAACTGTGAATTTACCTTTACTGATATATTAAGTATGAATCTCACAAATTTAATCTTATACATCTAGAAATAGGGTACACCACTAACCTCAACAAAATGCACAGTACACCCAGAGACTCTGACCCCCGCAGCTAGTGCCTGGCGGTGAGCATGTGTGCCTTTGAATGCAGGCAGCAGTGACGGATGAATATTTAGTAACCTGCCTCGCCAAGCCTGTACGAAGGCTCCGGTCAACACTCGCATGAACCCTGCCAAGCATACAATCTCCACTTCCGCTCGCTGTAGACTGGCATGCAGAGCTGCGTCAAACTCCGCCCGACTGGCAAAGTCTGTGTGCTTGATAACCTGAATACAAAACCGCTCTAAGAATATGGTCTCTACAGACCCTACGTTAGAATTAAAATGAGTTTTGATACTGGAGTAGATTTAAAAAGTAGTTCGGTATATTAATGTTTCTTTAAATTATTTTCATTATTATTAGTGATTCTACGACTTTGCCATTCTTTAACTTTTTTCTCAACAGAATGGTTCAAGTCTTGGTCTAGTTACTATCTAACATTGACTTGTTGTTAGATAGCACCGTTAGTTCAGGCAACGAATGCTCAAAAAAGGGTTTAGAGGGAAATGTTTGGAACACAATTTCTGACTTTAAACTTTGTTAAGTAAAGTCAGTAGGTAAACATACCAAAAGTCTCTGGCCCTTTTCTGTGTGGGATGAGGGTGCTTGAAGGTACCATATTTCGGTTTTTGCTGAAATCTCGGAAACTATGCGTCCAAGCAAAATTATGGTAATACACAAAATGAAAGCTTATTAAATTGCCAGCAATTTTGTAATTTACTATTGTTCAATATCTTGTATGTTTTTTGCGTTATTTAATAACAAAATTAGTAAATTTTGAAAAATTACTGTTAGAGTAAAACTTCATTGTGAGATTTTGCTTTGATGAACAGCAGTCATAGTTTGTGCTCAGTATCACTAACAATTTCCAAATCCAAGTCTTCTGGGAAAAGTTCCAAGGCAGTTTGCATGTTCTCTTCATAGGTTTTGTTTCTAAGGTTTAACTTGTTTAAGAAGTTGGTTTAAGTCTTGATTTGTGTCACAGAGAGAAGGGATGGGAAAAGGCTTTCTAAATCTTTTATTGATTTCAGGATTTTTCAAACAATTTTTGCATGAGTAGATTTTTTAAAGTTTGAACATGCAATAGCCCTGGTAAGCCATGTTGGACGAATTAGAAGAAAGAGGGAAATAGGAGAAAGATAAATTGTATTAAAAATCAAAGAAAGTTTGATTATCTATGAGAGTGGGCAGAAACATGAGGAAATTAATTGGTAAAAACAAGGACAAAAAAAACAATCTTGTGACTGTGATTACAAGAACAACAGTTATTTCGGGACTCGATTATAAAACAATCTTGTTTTATAGCTTGAAAGGTTGTAAGAAGAATAATTAAATATAGCTAGGGCAAAGGGGTGTGATAGAGGGGTGTATGTATAATAAGGGATGTGAGAGTGGAGTACAAGGACTGATATTCAATATCCAGGCTCATTTATTATATATAGGCTATTCAATATTCCATACATTTTATTCTAAACTAAATGAGGAAAAGAAAACATATAGTTATATAGTGTTTATTTGAAAAATGACTTACTAAAAGAGGTTATCCGGCCAATCTAGTTGAAAACCAGATCCGTCTGGCTCAATCAGAAACCACCAACGTTAGGCCTACTCAAAAAAGAAACTCCCAACAAAACCTGCAGCTTATCACGACCTACCACCACGGCCTCCAATCCTTAAACACAATTTTAAAAGACGGTTTCAAAATCCTCAGAGCATCCCCACACACCAAAGACTTCTTGGAAAAACCTCCCACAACTACATTCCGACAACCAGCCAATTTAAAAAAGTTGTTAGTTCACCCTAAACAGTCAAAACCTAACAAAGGCCAAGATAAACCCATAGAAGGCTCATTCCCATGTGACATGGCAAGATGCAAAACCTGCCACATTAATAGGCCCAGCACAACATTTACAAGCACATCAACAGGAGAAACCTTCAAAATTAAAGGACACAATACATGCTCCACGAAAAATGTTGTATATCAACTTCAATGCAACCGTTGCCCATCTCAATACATTGGACTTACCACCACCAGTTTTAGAACAAGAATTAACAATCATAGGACAGATATAAAAAAACAATCATCCAGAAAAACCAGTGCCTATTCATGCTACCAGCCACAATATGCAAGATTTAAACAGTTGTTTCAATTCAAAAATAATAAGATCTTTCCCTCCCACCTGTAACCCATCACAACTAAGGAGATGGGAACTCTCTTATCAATGGTTCACCAAATCCAGGGAGCCCCCAAACCTCAATCTCAGATAGGCCTAACATTTTTCTTTCCCCTTCCATACCTAAAAAGCAGGCTTAGACTAAGTGTAAATAAATTCGATGACTCATAACCTGTAAATATTCATTTGTAAATTCATAGTGTGTTGGCAACACTGCTTCCTTACCAGTGAAAGACTCTTAATATCTAATGTGACTCTCCATGTTGAGAAAGGGGCCAGTGGCCTCGAAATATCCAATGTTTATTTTGTTTGTTTGTGTTTTCTTCTGTGTTCTGTAGTGAATGAAGTGGGATGCCTACATTTTTTAAGGTAAGCCTGCTTATCCTATCCTTTCTCACACCTATTTATAAAAACAAAGATATTAACACCGAAACGATGTAGCCATGACAACCATAGACGAAAACAAACAAGCAGAAAAACAAACACAGAGCAAAAGAAATAGTTTGCAAAACGGCCATCTTTATTGGTTGTCATGAAGCCCAGAACCTGCTGAATACATTGTTATGCATTGTTACTGGGATCTTTCAATAGTACAAAATTCATCTGGGATTTTATAGGACAAAACAGAAAGCCTGCAACGCCGCCGTGATTATGGCAATTGACACTTCGAGTGTTAATGGTTACAAGAGAAAGACACTGTTTTTGTTGGATATATTTAAGTTTTATGGTTTAAATTCAGATAATTCTTTATTTTTAAATTTCCAAACGACACAGTATGCTGTCGTCCACCGCTGAGTAACACATCTATCGTCTATTTGCCTGCACCGTTTTTTCATCATTCCGCAACATTGAATTTAAATTTTTAATATTTTAATCAGTCTGTACAGTAGGCTAAGTAGAAGTGACACCTATTTCATTTGTTTTTTAAGAAGAAAACTTTTTGTTTATTACACGGAAAATTATTATTTGTAAAATAGTGCAATAGTATTTCAATTTCAATATGGACATGGACTCGTCAATGCCACAATTGCCCAGTACTACAGGTCAGGTTGGGTACTCCAAACCAAACGTTGCTACAGCTTCACTAAAGGTCTGTGTCTGTATAACTTTATTATTGCTTTGCATTTAATGAGATACTAATTTCAAAAATCAAAAATTTAGTAGCCTTTTATTAATATTCAATTTCGTCCAACATCTATTAGGACCTATTTTCTCGTATTTTACACAACAGTTTTATTTACATTTAGATTCAACATAATGTTAACAATATATTAGGGAATAGGGAATATTTAATATGAGTACAAACAAATGTTGGCTGAGAAAAGATATTTAAGTAAAACAAAGAGGATAACTAAAATGTTCAAGCTAACTGAACAACATGTTCTTTGTCCATAATGAATAAAGAATGATTTAATTGATTAATATAGTCAATAATTTGTAAAAATTTTTATTTATTTGTTACCTGAGTGGGAATGCCAGCTCTGACAGCTCTCTCCAGCCCTTGTACTCCTTCCTTGTTGGATATCACCAGTACAATCTCTGCCCCCATAGCCACACTGCCTAGACCTGAGGTGGCGTCTATCAGCGACTGTAAAACAAAACTGTGTGAAAAAACTGAATGGGTACTAAAACTAGAGTATAGTCTGTGTATTGTTTAATGTATTGTTGTTTTAAGCTTGATGATTTACTTTTGGGATCTTGGCTAATAAAGTATCTATGTTTAACAGTGGTGTGAGTTTTACCTTTCACTTCATGGTGTCAGGTTAAATAAACTTTTGTGGAAGAAGGGAAACATAGGAACATAAGAATGGCTGAAGTAGTGAGTAGTACAGTTCAATACCAGCTTGTCACACTAGAACCTTTCAATTTCTGAAAGGCCTAGACGGATAAGAAAATTTGAAAGGTTTAGATTAGCTTCAGGATTAGACAGTAAGAGTGAGGAAAATCTAGGTAATATGCTTTTATACTGTCTAGGACATGAAGGAGAAGACCTTCTAACATCTTTCGGAATAAAAGATGAAGAATTACAGAGTTATGACGCTGTCAAGGGTAGATTTGAGTCTTAGGTTTCAAAATCAATATTGTATATGAGAGAGCTAAATTTCTAAAAAGACGTCAGTCTGAGGGAGAACCTGTTGATTCTTTTAAAAATAGTTTACACAAACTGGCAGAGCGATGTAAACTTGGGGAATTAAAAGATGAACTAATTAGAGATATGAAAGTAATTGAAGTAAATGATGATAAACTTTCTCAAAAGGAACAGGAGACACGTTATAGCTGTGCATAAGCCAAACGAAAATGATGAAAATAGATTTGAATACCAATACCAAGAAGACCAAGGAACTGAAACTGATACTGGACATAATTACAATAGCAATGAAAATGGCAGACCTAAAAGAAGTGTAAAACCACCTCTTAGATACAGCAATTCAGACTTTTATAAATAAATTTTAAAAAAGAGAAAAGAGAAGATGTGCTGTTTGGTAGTTTTATAATTAATTGTTATCATAATTGATGTTTGTTTTAATGTATTGTTTTTAGCTTGATGATTTACTTTTGGGATCTTGGCCAATAAAATATCTATGTTTAACTGTGGTGTGAGTTTTACCTTTCACTTCAGTCTGTATGCTTGTTTTTTTTACCCAAAAAGGCTATGCTGTTTTACACATATTTACTATAACTTCAAAAGTAAAAACAAGTTTTGTTGGATAAAGTGTTCATTTGCAAAAAATAAAATTGTTAATGTTGACCTTATAATATAATACCAGCTCAAGTTCCTTACTTCATCCACTACTATTCTAGCCTGTTCCCACATCTATTGAATGACTAGTCTCATCATAGTGTTAAAAATGTTGTGAAATACAATTTATGCTTCTCCCACCCAAGTTTGAATGACACTCTGTAATTAATTATGTTCCTTGTAGAAAGGGGGTCAATCCCTGTTGATGGATGTTAAAGTGTTTAGAGGTAGGAAATGTACACTAGGGTGGAGAAAGTGGATTAGGGAGTTTGTTGAAGGTTGTAAATACTTGCTTGAGGCCGGCAACAGGTGTGCATCCATTTCCATTGAAATAGTGAATGATTTTGTTTTTGAGGAAACGTTGCTTGTTAATTGGAATGTTCAGACTTTCAGGGCCAATTGTGGACTAGGGATGAGCATCAATAGTCAATGTTTTCAAAACATTGATGTTTTTCTATCGATGGTAGGTTACCGATGTTTTTGTTACATCCATATTTTTGTCGAACATCAATGTTTTTGGCCAAGTATTGAAATATCAATGTTTTCTATAACTGAATTGTAGGCCTGATATTAGTTTTGATGAAAATGTAAATGTTGGTCTTAACAAGAAATTGTAAAACTGTATTTATTCTATTCAAAGGCTGATGAAATATTGAATCCAAAAATATTGCGAACTGGACTAGACTTAGACAGGTGTAGAGTGAGTGAGATAACTACATTTTTGTGAGGTCCTTGTTATAAATGCTACCTAAAAATCAATTAATATTTGTAATAAATTTCAGTGGCAGCACTCCTGCTCTCCAGCATAATAAATTAATACCGGTATTTCGTCTTGCAAATGTGACAGAGAAACTGCCAATTTAGAAATTCTAGCTAGTAGTACAGACTAACCAACATAAAGGAGTGTGTTTAATCAATGCTTGTAGAGTAATGAGTATGCTAATAGGTTAATCAGGTGAGGCAGTAAAGGGAGCAGACGAAAAACTAAAAAAAAACATCAATTATCATCGATGTCTTCACAACGCTGTTATCGGTAGATCGATGGTTGACCTATCGATGCTCATCCCTACTGTGGACCTTGATGGTCTAATTTCCATGGTAAACTAGCTGCTATGCTTTTATTCTAATGAACCACAACCATACAATCATTTGAGTTTCCAAATAAATTAATCGAGTTAAAAACTTATTTTATAACTACAAAATAAGGTATAATTTATGCCTAATTTATACAGTATTTTATGCTTAGTGAGAAATAAAGGAAAATACCTGCAAATTAGTGCCACTGCCAGAGATAAGGACTCCAACACGTTTGCGTGAGGACAATCGACTGACCAAAGGAGCAACAAAAGGCTTCATAGTGGATTCAAAGGCAGCTGCTACATTCTCCACAACAACGGCTGGATCACCTGGAATTCCATTTAACTGTAAATAAGAGCTCTGAACATGTTCTTGATACACAGAATGCATAAGTATAAAACCCTCCAACAATATAATATACATTAGTACAGTAGAGTGTGTACTGTCTATTATTCTTGGTATTATTCTTATTATGAATGTTGGTCTTGACAAGAAATTGTGATTGTATTTATTCTATTCAAATGCTGATGAAATATCAAATCCAAAAATATTGCTACAAACACAGGAGACAATCAAAACTAGAAATACCCCCGCCGCAGCAAACCTACAGACTAAGCGAATTTCCATTTGCCTGATTGGATTTACACTAAAATGTCTCCTTAAAAATTAAAAATATCACATTCATTCCCTATTTAAATAGAATCAGTTTAACACATACTTAGGTTTGCTGCAACAGGGAGGGTAAACGTGTTTTTTTATGTAATTTTTACCCCATAAAAGCCCCCATAAACCCCCGTTCCCATGGTCCGATCATGCTGGTTTGCGAACTCGTTCGAATAAACGTAGGTTTACACGTTTGTACCAAATTTCATCAAAATCGGATCATTTTTGCTCGAGTTATCGCGCTAACGGACACATATCTTACTAATATTATAAATGTGAAAGTTTGTGTGTTTGTTTGTTTGTTTGAAGTTCAATCATGCATAAACCACTGGACGGATTGGGCTGAAATTTGGCATGATGATAGCTTACATTCCCGATTAACATATAGGCATATTCTTATCTCAAAAATCCTTTCGGGCTCCGCCCCAGTGGCTCTGTAATTCCCCATGTTAACCTTATGAGTATTCATATTTAAAGGGAATTAAAGAATTTAGTCAGCTGTTTCAACTAAAAAAAGTTGGTTCTATGATATGGAAAAGCATTTAAAAAGTTATAAGATTTACCAACAGGGTGCAGCACTATATTTTTTTGCATTTATGAAAACAGCTAATTTGAACTAAGCAGCAACAAAAAACTGTGATTCGCAATGAGAACTGTCAAAGTAGGATTGTTTACAGTTATGTATATGTTTTTCATTTCATGAATAATTTGTGATATTTTGCGAATTGATCATTTATTTTTCTCTATTGTTTAGGTAAAATGGTAGAACATTATGGCTATGGTAGATGTGTAATACTATAGAATACTGTAAATTTAAATAAAGCAAATTTTATCAAACTGTGTCCTCCACCCATTGCAATTGCAAAGCTTGAGTATAACTGCAATAAGCATTTTATACTTATATTCCAACCCCGTACGAAGGACGGGTACTCTGCTAGTATATATATATATATAAATATATAGTTAGAAAATATAAATAAAATTAGAAGCTTTAACATTTAAAGTTCAGAAGTTTATTTACAATTCAACTCAAGACTGAAACATAAACATGACTGATATTGTTTACCTCCAACTAACATATGATACATTTAACATATGATAATATGTGAATATAACATTATAACACATCTTTCCCCTTTAGAAAGAATTAACTAAAAACAATAACCAATAATAACCAACCAAACTTATATATATATGAATTTGAACGGATGGTGTTTTTGGCCTCTAGGGACCTCAAAACGAAAAAAAAAAAAATCGGCCCCGGGTCCAGGTCTTACCATGAGTACTACGGTAATAGCTTATTCCCTATATGGCAAATTCGCTAAAAATACATGTAAACATGAAAAAATGTATTTAAATGTAATCAATCAATGTTGAAATAATGTACAGTATCTCATTTTAGTCATTTTTACTGACAATGACCAATTATGCGGAAAAAACAGGTATCCGAACACCCCAATTGTATTACATAATCAACTCTCTACTGTATACTTTTAAGTGCTGGTCTAAGTTGTATGGTCGTTAACTTCTTAATTATAAATAAGTCTTCCCTAAATATAGACCACCTGAAGCCAATTTTTATTGAAAAAGATCATAGTTGAATTAGCCACTTACAAGTTTGTAAAGGTCTACAGTTCTACTTTCTCCCTTAAGAGTGTGTCACTGTGATAGTTGATGTGATATAAAAGCTGCTTTACATTTAAAAATTACAATAACATATACTTACAGATTGGCTTGGTTAAAAAGTTGACATACTTGACAGAAACCAACAGTTTAATCAGCATATCCTTACAGTTTGGCTTTGTTAAAATGTTGGCGTACTTGACAGAAACCAACAGTTTAACTCAAACATATCCTTACAGTTTGGTTTTGTTAAAAAGTTGGCGTACTTGACAGAAACCAACAATTAAAATCAGCATATCCTTACAGTTTGGTTTTGTTAAAAAGTTGGCGTACTTGACAGAAACCAGCAGTTTAAATCAGCTCACTCTGATAGAGGCTCAACTCAAATACGTCAATTTTTATTCCAACAAAACTGACAAAAATTTTAATATCTAGTTCCATCTATTGGTCAAAGATGATACCAAGATCAGGATAAAGAGATTCCTCGCATTAAACATTACAAAATACATGTAACATAGAAAGAAATACACTAAATAAGGAACAATATCATATAGCATAAAAGCTTTACCAGTAGAAACTCTGCTGCATACAGAGCCGATGACTGTTGCTTCAGGCAGCTTGGCCGAGACAGCGTCTACTGTCTCCGCAGCAACAACCAGTACCAGACCCAGGCCGCAGTTGAATGTCCGCAGCATCTCCTGCTCACTGATCACTCCTGCAGCAAAACATTCGGCCAATAAATCTTTGAGATTACTGGTACGAACAAACAGTAATCATTTTACTTTTACATTTTGTTGACTTTAACAATTTTTATACTAGATACTATTCAATGTGGTTGAGGCATTAAATAACCTAATTTGCAAATAGGCAAGGTAAATATTGTTTTTTTTTTTTTTTGCAAATCAAAGGGTAAATTTTAAATTGACAAATCATATGATAAAATCACTTATTCCCATCAAATTATGTATCAAAATCAACAGAAGATTTACGTTGCATATAATTTTAAATGGGCCTTAGAAGTTTTAGAAGCTTTTGCTATGTTTGAGGGTTTCAACTTCTTGTTCACATTTTGCAGATTTTGATTTAAATTTTGGATTTCAGCTTGTGAGATTCTATAGTTTTGTTTTGGATGGTAAGTTTTGAGATAATTTCATTTTGTATGATAGCCAAGTGAGTTTTAGAATTTTGTTCGCATTCTTATCTTGTTCTCTGAGACATTGTACTACAAGCAATAAAATAAAATAGGGTTTGGTTTAAATTTGGCACTTTTCTAGGCAATTGTCCCTAATATTTTTGGTACTAAGCAATTTAAAACAGAGACCACACTTTGGAATGAATTTAATTTAGGCACATTGTCCTATAAAGTGACGTTAACACTGTAAAGAGCTGGCAGGCTCTGGGTAGAGGCAATGGTTGAAGCTCTGGAAGTCACATGTCCATTGTTGAAAGGTACATCTGTCAAATTCCCATAAATAACACTTGCCACAGTAACTTGTTTTCTTTTGACTAATTTTGAAAAATAACACTTTATTATTTTGCACTTTTCTTACAAGGATATATTATTTGTTATAAGTAGGAATTGACATTGACATTTTATATTGTAACATAAAATAGGATGACATTTCTGTGGGGTGATGGGATATTATATAACATTGAACAAAATTTGATGAAATAATACATATTAACAAGGAGAAACATTTTAAATAACTTAGCACATTATTAGGGGCATTAACAAACATTATAGGAGAAAACACACAAAATTAAATAGAAATTAACATTAATGATGAATGAATAACATGTAATACGAGGGCTATCCAGAAAGTAGATTACGTTTTTGTCTGTATCTGCTAGGGTCGTGGCTAGCGTGACCATCTTGGTGTTAGTTCGTTATGCAGCTCAGTCGGCATCTAGCCGTGCTAGTAAGAGGTTCCTCCTGTACTCCATTGAGTTACTGTGACAGTTTAAAATGTCTGTGTTAATTGAAAATGCCGCAAACTGTGAAGTGTATACAGTTATAAGGTTTTTGACTGCAAAAAACTTTAAATCGATAGAAATCTATTGGCAACTTTGTGAAGTTTATTGGGAAAACATTATTACTGAAGGTTGAGTTCGTCAGTGGGTCATAAAAATGGCCCAACTAACGTTCACGACGAAGAACAAAGTGGAACACCCAGCATTGTGACTGCCGAACTTGTCGAAAAAGTCGATGCCGATGTCCGTAAAACTCGAAAGTTCACAATAACAGAACTCTCTATGGGTTTTCCACAAATTTTGCCAAGTTTGTTGCACGAGATTATAACCGAAAAGCATGGCTACTAAACTGTAACCAAAGAGTCCATTCATTTTTTTGCACGCACTTCACAGTTCGCGGCATTTTCAATTAACACAGACATTTTTCTGGATAGCCCTCGTATTACACAGTTCCGGCGACTTTGGGGTGTATACCTGAGGTGGCCAGCCATGAGAAGACGGGAGGTATGGTCCAGCAGTTAGCGTCCAGTGTCACACCCAGTTGTGGAGGCAACACTCGTGGTAGGTTGTCTATCAGACCTCCACCAGTGATGTGTGCAAGAGCCTTCACATGATGTATCACAGGCAACACGGACTTGACGTAGAGCTTCGTGGGAGTCAGCAGCTCCTCACCTGTACATCAAATAATGTTTCATCAAATAAAACGTTTATGGCTTAAACTTAAAACCCAGAATAGCAAGTTTTACTTCACTCTACTTTAATTGTCAAGGATTATCTGAGGAGGTAATTTTGTTTAGTCATTATTTTGTCATACCACACATTTGGAGGGCCAAGAAACAAATTATAAGTAGGGGACTGTGGGTCCCTGATATTTACAGGTCAGGTTGGGTTGATGTTGACAGTTGGCTCGAGGGTGGGCTTAGGCCAGGAATACTTTTTGGGTCAAGCTCAAGTGAGGTCGAGCCAAGCTTTTTTTTTTTGCTTTTGTAGAAAGCTTCTGCGAACTTGTGAAATCAAAAATTGACTGTTTCCACAATTGTGTGTGATGTTCATGGATTTTCCATGTGGGACAAGATGATGATGTCAGTCACTATGACCGCGGAAGTTGTTCTCGATTGTGCCATGACCATAGAAGATGTCGTAGTTTTGCAGCGACACAGAGGATATGTTGAAGACTTTGCTACATGCAGAATATGTTCTTGATTCCCCTGTGATATTGGGAGAGATCATGACGTACAGTATTATTTAAACCAATTATAGTATAAACCAATTTTGTATAACCAATTTTAAGAAAAAGCAATACTTTCCAAAGCAATCCCGATTTTGGCCCAAGACCCGTGGGTCTACATTTTTTACCTAACCCCAAGTAAAATTTTCTAGCCCGCAGAACCCCTAATTAAAAATAGGCAAATGTATTATCTTTTGCCATTAATCTTAACAATTTTGCAAAATTAAAGCAGTCAAATAAAAATACTCTATCTTATAGAAAGTTAAGTTAAAACAAAACGTTTAATGAATCAATATAGATCAGATTTAACGTTAATATTCAATATACAATTAAATTTATCCAATATGCCTCCTAAAATTAGCTAAAATATTATATTCTTCCTGTATTTCTCACCAAGAGTTTTGTCACTGAACGGAGCTTTGTCTTTGACACCAAGACCTTGCATACTCATAACTTTACGCACAAGACTGAAGCCATTACTGTGAACTCCACTCGACCCAAGTCCAAGTACCTGAAACAACACCAACACTTCAACTTTCCAATCAAACATCTACTTATTAGCAAAATTCGAGTATTCTGCAAAATTAGGATTGAAACTTTTACTAAGGACATAAATTAAACATCATGGTAATGCTGATAATTAAAGTCAAGAAACTGAATTTAAGTCCAAAAATACAATAATTTTTCCTATGTAGCTTAGGGGCAAGTGTGTTTAAATGTTGAATAATAATAATATCTATATATATAAATCATTAATAAATATTGAAATTGGATTCAAAACTAAAATGAAAGAGCTATATTCACTTTGTCACCAGGTTTGATCTGGTCTAGACGCGGCAGCACATTACTCCGCTCTACTGCTCCAACTGCAAACCCTGCCAAGTCAAAATCTCCATCTTTGTAAAGTCCTGCCATCTCTGCTGTCTCTCCTCCTGCAAAGATTGTTTACAATTAGACTATCTCAAGTGTAGCACTTGGAGTTCAAGTTTTTTTTTTTTATAAAATATGTTTAGAAAATTTGAAAAAGGCTGTTTTAGACACTAACCCTCGTATGTTGAAAGGGTTTAAAGAAAAGATATATCATAATATTACAATGACTATTATTTTCAGTTTAGAATGGAAGTTATTTTTAATTCTAGTGTGAAAAGTAGAAAAGAAATATAGTTTTATCCAAGCAAGAGTTTACTACTGGTTGTTTTGGTGTGTGACTTATGATTAGGAAGTGTTCAAAATAGTCAGTTAAGTAATATAGGTCGGCCGCTTGGAAAGCGACTTCCTCTTACATGTGCAATAAATCCTTGCGCAGGTTGCTATCTGTCCTGTCGACCTATAGCTGTTAGGAGTGTTTTGATGAACATTTTCATTTTTTTTTAGATTATAAATATTAATTACCACATTTCCTCTCTTCTTCTTCATTATGACGTCTTTTTAATGCTTGAAAATTATTTCTGATCTTTCTTCATTCAATACTTTTGATTTTCTAGCAAACAATCTTAGTAAAATTGTATTCCTAGAGATTTTGAAGTGAAACAATATAAAATAACGATGAGAAGTATTTTGAATAAGCACTTAACTGCACTTAGGCGTTCAGGTCGTAAAATGAAAAAGCCACAAAAAAAAAAACAGAAAAAGACTGCACAAATTACCAACCAATTCAGGTTGCCTTGAACACTGTCCTTCCTTTAGCTATAAACCAAAATCATTTACACTTAAGCAATTTCCTTACCAACCAAAGCGCACCCAGCCATAGAGCAGGCCTTTGCGATGCCAACAACGATGTCCGTAGCAGTGGAGACCTGCAGACGACCACAGGCGAAGTAGTCAAGGAAGTAGAGAGGCTCAGCTCCCTGACACAGTACGTCATTGACACACATCGCCACCAGGTCCTGTCCTAGAGTGGAGTAGATACCCATCTCCTGGGCAATCTGAGGTAACAGGAACATTACTGTCAACTGAGGTATTAGTCATTTGTAAGAGGAATTGGACCGATAAGTATAGCTTTGTATAACTTTCTTCTACTAAGTAAGATCGGATTTGAAAAGTATGGCAACATTTCTTTATCAGTGGGTAAAATAAAGACCTATAGATGTAACAGCTGAGGTAAAAAGCAGACATATTTGGTTGACAGGTTGACCTAAGGGAAAAGATAGAAGGTACATTAGTTTGAAGGGCTAAGAACTCCTCAATAGTTTTCACACAACAGAATGGTACTTGTTGCATTATAATACTTTCTACTGAACCAATGACTCATAACAGGTAATTTCATAAAGCCTACTCAAATGTATTCACAAAATATGCTGTATCCTTCAGAACTCCTCTTGTACCATGTATTTTTAATTAATCTAAAATATTAAGTCATCCTATCATTTATTACGAATTACGATCACTCCTTAAATGATTTGAATCAATTCCACTCGTGCACCTCGTCATGCTCCTGATTACATAAAACAATCATACCTTAAGTTTAGTCCCGACTCCGTCGGTGCCTGACACCAGTATAGGATCTTTGTAGTTGGTTTTCTTGAGGTCAAAGAGAGAGCCAAAGCCGCCAATGTGACCCATCACGCCCGGACGTGTGGAGGCAGCCACTGCTGGCTTTATAGCATCTACAAGTGATTCTCCTGCGTCTATATCTACACCACTAGACTTGTACGTTGTTTTGCCTCTCTGCAGGATCCACCTGAAGGCAAACAACACTTGAAAATGTGAAAAATAGTACTAAATACTATTACATGATTCACCTGATAGATAGTGATGTGACAGGCTATGGGACAGATCTATGGAAGCGAGGTTTTATTATCAAGGTTATCAAATAGCTTAGTAAAATCTATCCATCTTTCAGTTTGGTAAACAAATTTTACAAAATGTAAAAATTACTTTTGCAATCTAAGATTAATGGATATGTTAAAGGATTTTACATTAGACTGATGATTACAAGAGGAATATTACAGAAAATTGTGACTGCATTTCATTCTGGTATACATTAAAATTACAGTCTTTTTAATAAAATTTTATAGTTTTCACCTTAGAAATAGTTTGTTATTAAAAATGTTCTGATTCCATTTAGTACCTAGTACCAATTATATAGGTACACTGTTTTGATTAATTTAAAAATTAAGATTGTAAGGTAAAATAACAAATAAGTAAACAATTTGCAAAAGAATTCCAGGTTTTAGGAAGCTTAAAAAAGTATGTATTAAAATTTTAAGTGTTTTATTTTAGGGTTGTTTGTGGGTAGGACCATTTAATTTCCCTTGTCCCTGGTTCAAGATATTGGTTTACTCCCTGAAGAAATTTCCTACAGGCACCATTAGCACTAGATCCTGTATTATATCCACACCTAGGAATGCCCTTGTGTGCAATGTCTCTCCTGTACTGTCCACCAGGGAAAGTGATGGTGCTGCAAACTGCGGTGGCACGTGCTGCAGCTGTCACCAGATGGGGGGACCTCGCCACCACAGCCAACACTCGCCCCCCCGCAGTCACCAGCTCCCCCGCCACCTCCGCCGTGCCACAGTGGAACACCACCAGGTCTGAGCTGTCATACAGTCTCTCAACTCCTGACAAACGGAATGCTAATGTTACCTCTGTTATTTCCATGAAATACTGAATATAAAAATCAAATGAATTGATCACTTGTAATTTCAAATCAAATTGTCTTTATTCTTTGTAGTAATGCATATGAATAATGTCAACACATTTTACAGTAATTATACAACATTTAAAAACCTGGAAATACATAAAAGTTTACATAATTTGTAGAGTCTGACAGTATAGATTTTTTTTTTTATATTCTTATTCATCAATACTGTAGGGAGCCAGATTGATTAAATAAAATTTTAGTTTGTTCAAGAATTTAGTTTCATTTTGCTCCTTTTTTAAAGTTAAATGGGTAGGTTTCTCAAAAATAGATTGCCAATATAGGATGGCTTCATTTTGAAAATTCTAGACAGTGGTAGCTTCTTACAGTTATATTTTTCCACCTTGTGTTGTTATTGAACTTCTATTTTCTCGTCCTCATACAAGTGTTGAATGGTTTTAAAAATGTACATTCTGTACACTGCACAAATGTTCATTTCCTTAAAATTTGATTATAGTGGAATCTATAGATGTTAGCTCACAGTCTCTACTTAAAATGTTATATAAACTGCAACTGAAATTAATGGATATCTAATCCACCATGGAATCCAAAATGTATCTCTTCTTGAATCTTTTCTAGCCAATGACACAATTAAATTATGGATTGTTTTAAAACCCATCTATCCTCATAAATACCAAACACAAACAATGAATACTAAAGATACTCGTAAATTATTACAGATGATTATGATTAGGGAGTGAGAATCATTGATTTGATCAACACCATGAAAAAAAAAATATGAACATGAACGTATATTTGGTTTGATCGTCCCGATTTTTTGTAAATTACTATCATTTTGACTCCATTTCTATCAAGAGGTTGAAAAGTAATATGACCATTTTTAGCCCGTTAACCTATAAAAATAAAAATAAACCACTGTTGTTGGACGTAAATAGAAAAATTACACGCATTGTTTTTAATCCACTTATGTGATAGTATACAAAAATATACACACAAAATTACTGAATCAGTTACATCCTACCTTTTATAATGTCACCCTTGCTGGAGGTGACCGGGTATCCTCTGGAAGCCATGATGACAGCTACTGTGGAACACCCAGAGGCCCAGCAAACCTCCTGGCTGACTAACGTCTCACTGCAGCAAGACTTAAACAGAGGGAAGACGAGCTGAAATCTGAATGTTACTAGTTCAATCTATCAATGATGCTATCTACCAAAAGGCCAATGTTCGGTAGAAACAAGCCCAGTGTTTGGATCACTTCTTTGTAAAAAGAATAACAAATTCCAATTGTGTAAAAAAAACTAAATAAAATAAAAGTAAGTCCTTGGTTATCTAGTATGCACAGCTTTTCTGGCCTCATTGTGCAAGAATCTCTGAACTTGCACAACCAGTTTAGTTGTGACCTTCCAAGATGTCATCAGATTAAATCTTGGAGCTTCATTGGTTGAGGTGGAAACCTTTTTCTCTAGGGTGCAATGCAAGTGTACTCCAACTTGTTTACCCCTGCAAAAGTGTTTTCTCCAATGCAAAAGTAATTCTTAGTTAATTTCCTGGGGCTACTGTGTACCTCTCTAATATCAAACATATGATGAGACTTGGAATTATAAAAGTTTTATTTTCAAACATTAACAACTCAATGATGTAGAAGAAAGGGTATTCTGGTGTTTAGAATTTAGAATAATACTTAGCTCAATATCTATTAACCAGTTAGTTAAACTCTACCAGTTTATTGAATATCTCAATTATGTAACTTCTTATATCAATGACCTCTATGTGATGTAAATACAGTAGGTTGATACAAAATGATGATAACCAAATGTTTATCATTATCTACAATTGACAAGAATGTATTTAGTATTAGTGTTTTGCTGCTAGTAGAAAAAACGTGATAGGCCAGTATAGAAGAATAGAATGGAGTCATCAAACTGGCGTAGCTGGCTGGACACAGTGTGTTGTAGAGGTAATATACTTCTTGAGCCTGGGTAGAAGTATACAGAACTCCAGCTCTCTTAATCAATCGGGACCGTCCTACATTTGGATAGTTGGATTTGTATTAAAATTGGGGGTATTTTATAAAAATACTTTACTCTGATGTATGATGAGCCATGTCGAGAAGCTGCCAAAAGCTTGAGTGATTAAGCGCCAAGTATAAAAAACAAGTTTGAGTTGAGCTTATCTTATCTTATCTAACAGGGGCAGGTCGAGACCTTAAAGCACTTCATCCGAAATCGAATTATTGCGCACCCCAGATACTTAATTGCTTTCTTGTTGACCTACAAGTTGAGGCGCCCAATGAATGCCTGTAGCTTCCCAATTAGTTCATCCTCAGGAAGATATCTACCTCTAGCCATATTTCCAAGAGTTATCGATCTAGCGTCAGAGAGCTCGTTACAATCAAAGAGTAAGTGATCAGCTGTCTCTTCTGACCTATCACAGTACCTACAGATCGGTTCACCATCATATAAGCCCATCCGTTGTAGATGTTTCCTGAATCTTCCATGACCAGTTATCAGTTCAACAATTAATTTAATTCTTCGTCTGTCTAGTCTCAAGAGGTCACAGGCAACCTTTTTGGAAGGCCTAAACAGAGTAAGCTTGCTGACCCTAAGAAGGGGAACATCGACCCAGCGTTTGCGATGCTTTTCCTTGGCCCATGACGCAATCGCAGAACATACACTGTTTCGTGAGATGCCACAGAAGGGTTGTGGGCCTAACAATGATGTCGCAGAGGCAGTATTTGCCAATCTGTCTGCAGCTTCATTTCCTTTAATGCCTGAGTGTCCTGGTACCCAGCAAAGCGTAAGGTCATTTCTCCTACCCAACTCAGACACAGAAGCAAGACAATCCCACACGAGCCTGGAGTTGAATTCGTAAGAGTTTAATGCTTTTAAGGTCGCTTGACTATCAGTAAAGATATTGATTGTTTTGTCTCTGATATCTTTGTTAAGATGTTCTTGAGCACAAACTAGAATGGCAGTGACCTCCGCTTGAAAGACAGTTGGGTACACCCCCATTGGAAGACAAATACCAGTGCCTCCATTCATCCAATGCACACCTGCTCCAGTGCCCCCATTTTTGATCTTAGAACCATCAGTATAGCAGTTGAGCTTTATTCTTTTAAAATTATGATATAACCATGTTCGCAAGACGCCTCTGCGATGATAAGATTTTCATGTGCAATGATGATGTTTCTGTGACTGTGAGAGATGATCACTGTCTACATGACTGTAGGAGATGTTTAGGACTTTGCCATGATCATGGTTTCTGCCGGCTTCAATAACATTTTATTTTGTGTATCTTTATTCCTATAATTTTATGGTTTTTAGTCAGCCATTCTGATAGTTAAAGTTATGGTTAAAGTTTTACTGTACAATATTTTATAGTACTAGCCATTTCTACCTCTTCTACTCACCATCATAATGTCAAACAGATCTGACTGAAGCAGAGGGAGGATTGCCTCGGTTTCTGGGTCACCAAAGCGACAATTGAACTCCAACACTTTGGGTCCATCCTTGGTAAGCATCAAACCAGCATACAACACACCTTTATCATCAAATACAGACACAGTCAGCAACTAGCTACAGTAGAGGCTTGAAAATATGAACCAACGAGGCAGACGGCCAATCTGAATCTTTTTACAGGATTTTCAGAGGACAGTTATAGGGCTAAAGAGATGGAAAGCAGGGGCGGCTCCAGGGGGCAGGCCAAGTAGGCCCCTGCCAACCCAAAATTTTGGGAGATATTTCAAAGTTATTAATAAATAAAGAAATTTAATTATATGTAAATAAAGGGAAAGCATTCAAACTAATTATTTTGCTTTTCAATTTTAAAATTCCCCCCTTTTTGCTAGAAAAGGCCTTCAAACCTCTCGTCTCCCGATCAAACTCTTTCTTGATCCTTGTCAGGCCTACCCAAAAAATTTTTCCTGGAGCCGCCCCTGGTGGAAAGCAGAAAATAGTTGTCACCCGCCAATCCTTGGTCACCTTGCCAATTCTGTACATTGCAAAACTCCTGACTCAACAATTTCTACACAAGACTTTGTAAACAATAAGGCTTTTTTGTTTTAAGATTTAACTCCACATATTGTAGCCTATACCAAAATGTTCGTCTGTGTGTAGATTTGCAAACTAACCTTACATTTTTGAAAAAGTCCCTTGGGCTCTGCCCCAGTGGCTTTTAAAGTTACCATGTTATCCTTATGAAGAACATATGATCAGCTGGATAATTTAATTGTTGTTAATATTTTAGTTGCAATTTAAAGAAACAAAACAAGTGCTACAAACATTTACTGACATGGTTAAAATGAAATATTTACTATTTGAAATAGGGTTGGCATAAATATTATAATGGAAAAAAGCGAGAAAGCATGGGCAAATTTGATATACTAAAAAGAAAACTGAATTAACACTCTGCTGCATTTCTTGAGCAATCATTGAAAGAGCCGATTTGCAAACTATGGACATACAAACAGGGATAAAAGTTTTCAAAACAGGCCAAACAGATAACTGAAATATTGGGCATCATGGACACAGATAATCTAGACCAAAGTTCAACTGACCCTTATCAGAGCTGATAACAAGTTCCTTGAAGTAATTTAACTAAAATATGCAGGTAATTTGATCTGTTTTTCATACATACGTGAGAGCCCATGAACACTTTAAAAACTTCTTTTTACAGTTTGATACAAAGAAAAAAAAAAAACTACAATTTTTTTTACAATTAACCAGTATTTGGTCACTAAAAATAGAAAAAATCGGGAGCACCAGTTTATTTTAACCTGCTACTGAGGGTCTACCCCCTCCATTTATGGCTATTATACCTAAATACTATCAGTCAACATTGTTCACTAATAGTCAAATGATAAAAAGGAAAATTGATTCATAGAACAGTAAGGAATAGCCTACATGTCCTGAGACATTGTGATCATTCACTATTTATTATTTAAAGAGTTCTGTACAACAATTGCCACTTTGCTAAGAGAATTTCCAATGGAATAGGAATGGGTCCAAACTTCAAAGTTGTTGTAATTTTGTCTGTATGCCAATGACTGAACCCGCAACTCTCATATTGAAGGACAAGATGCCATCACTACTTAAGACTTAAAACTATCATTCACTGTTCCTTATAAGAGTTTCTCACCCACAAAAGGACATCCTTCTTGTCTGAGTCCGTCAACAGTTCTCTGCAGAACATGCTCCTCTACCCAAGACAGCTGTTGGTTGGACAGCAGAGGACAAGGACAGTACGCGCCCATGCCTCCAGTGTTGGGGCCGAGGTCTCCGTCCAGTGCTCGCTTGTGATCCTGCGCTGGCAACATGGCTTTCACAGTGCGGCCGTCTGAGAAGCCCAGGACCTGACACGACACAAAGAATAAAAAAATTATGGGGCGTTAAAATAAAACATAATGACTATTGAGTCTAAACTAAACAGATTGATTTAGTTTAAAACTGCTGATAATGCCTTCAATAGAGCATGTTTATAAGTTTGCTTTCATTTAAAACCATGGCAAATGTTTTCACTAGGTCTGAAAAAAGGAACGGGGGCGTTGCCATATATGTAATACAAATCCTTCTTCTCCTATGTCTAGATAGCGCACGATTACGTGCGGCAGGTTCGCTAGTTATCCTTAAAAATCACTCCTGCTGAATTGAAGCCAATTTAATTTACTTCCTATTGTTAGAAGGAAGCAGATTTAAAACAGTCAGACAGGTAAACGAAGGGAGAAATAGAGATTTTATTCATGACATTGCTCCAGTTGAGCTGCTTCGCCCGTGTTGGTTGGATCACAGCGCCAGAACATTCGGCAGGTCTAAGGAAGCGTGATGTTTTATCTTTTCACACGTAACGTCACTGGTGCTGTTTGGTGTATCAGTATCAGTCTGGAATTTTAGTGTTTTTGTGTGTTGTAAGACCTTCATTGACGTGGACTGCTGCATCAACTTAGCAAATTAAATTAAATACAGGATAGAAGTAGAAGGAGCCTGATAAACAGCAAAATATCTGGTAAACTGTGACATCTTAGAAAGCTCATGTCATCAAGAAAAAAAGCAAATAAGTGTATAATACCTAGGCCAACAGTCGATTTCAAACTATGAGAGACACATTAATCAGGGTGTCATTAACTTGGAACTATGTGTATTTCCAGTCAATTCGTTATATAGGCCTATAACTAACTTTTAAATGTTTTTACGCCACATTACACTATTTTGACGAACGCGAGGATTTAGTCCAGAAAGCAGCTGTTTGCCGCCAGCTTAATCAAATTGGGTTTCATTACCTACAGTACTACTGTACTGTAATGAGTTTTAGCGGACACCAATCAGCTGATTATACTTTATTTGGGTGACAATGAGTGGTTATAAACAAAAATATTATCTCTCTTCTCGTCTGGCAAACGCTTATTTTCAGGACTAGTAACGTAATACACAATCAATACACAGTTGGAATACTTTATAGGAATAAGATGTTCAAACAAATAAATCACCTCAGTTGGCCATTTCTTATTGTCAATTCACTTTGCTAATGCATGCCTTAGTAAACCTTCGTAATTAATTAATTGTCCTCTTTGAACTTCAACAGAGTGATGACGTACCGAAACTTCAGGTCCATCAAGCAGTTCTTCAACAATTACAATTTCCCCAGCCTTTCCAAACTTCTTGTCCACCAGACATTCCCTGACTGCCGCAGTCGCCTCCTCAGTGTCGGCCGCCACTACAACACCCTTGCCTGCTGCCAACCCTGCAGCCTTCACTACTAAAGCCGGGAAATTTGCCCTGCGATAAGAACAATCAATCAAATATCAATGGTAATTGATAACGGTAACAATGACTACCAGAGGTAACCTAATCTTTTACGGAACCTACTTTTTTTGGTAATCAAACAGTTACCTAAAAAGTACGAAGTATCATTCCTTTACCACTAACAATAGTGTAAAGTTTGACACCAAACCATAGATAAATCATACTCCCTTAGCAGATTTTTCATCCTTATGGAACAGCTGAAGCCAATTTTATTGTTAGTTCTGTACGTCCAACTGTAGAGGTTATGTTTTGTTTACAATTTGTTTCTTGTTATTTCAGTAATTTAAAAACTCATTTAACCAAATAAAACGATTTAATCATAAACAATAACTGGTCTCATAGTTATATAACCAAATAGTAAAGCACAAATCATGAAAATAACCCTAAAATAATAGAAACAAAATGTTGTCTACCCCAGCGATCGGCGTGGACGTACATGAACTAGACACGAAAAACAAGCTTCAATATTTACAATGAGATGAGGAGTCTACTTGTGTTGCTTAGTCTATGACCAAACTTACTGCTGTTTTCCCAAATAGGCAAAGAATGTAATTGATTGAAATGGATGATCACACTTTCAATGTTTCAGACAAACCACTAACACACTTCAGATTATTCAGTTTCAACCATTTTATTTAATCTAGACAAAAATGTTCGAGTAGATGTAAAGCTGGGTTTTCCTAGACGCGGAGTCGGCCAGCGGAGAGCGGACAACGGAGAGCGGACTCAGCTTGTCTTAGGTAATTTAATGTTACTGTTTTCCTAGCAGCGGAGCGGAATGCCATGTTAATTTCAATTCCGCTCTCCGTTGTCCGCTCTCCGCTGGCCGACTCCGCGTCTAGGAAAACCCAGCTTAAAAATATTGGAAATAGATGTACCAAGTATTAACACTATACTATTTTAACTATCTTATTCAATCTTACAATTCTGAACATCTGGTGAGATTGTATTGTAAGAAATACATCTGTTTACCAAACAAGGATGGTACCAACTAACAACACGTTCTGTAAAACCGTATTACTGATGTCATTTACACCTAGGCCCTACCTTCAAAGCCCATGGGGTTAAGTTTTTGATATCAAGATTCGCAATCACAGCCTTTTTTAACTTTCTGATGCATTAAAATTCATTGTTGTGGTCTGTTCCCCTGAGTCGACCGGCAATGTTGTATATTCGTGATAGGCCTATCAAACTAAAAGTATTTATTTTTATCTCGTACGTGTCATGTATAAATGTTGTTTGTCGTGTAATGTGTTTTGAGAACGAAGCTATTCAAGCGGATCTACATATTCCTGTAATGAAGTGTTTGACATTGGCAGCTCGCCGAAACATGTAGCCTAACTTGTTGACGAAGGTTACTTTTGGAACTGATAAAGGTATTGTAAAACCAAATATTTATGATGCACTTTAAAAGTACACAACTTGCTAGGCTTACATAAACATATCAAATTAAAGCTAACCGTACCTATTAATAAAATTAACTGCGTCGTCTGCCGAGGTGAAGCCCTGCCATCGAGCTGTAGGAATGCTGTGTCGATCCATAAACTTCTTTGCCCAGTCCTTGTCTGCCTCTATTCTCGCTGCAGCAGCTGTTGGGCCGAAACAATTTATCCCAGCCGCAGACAGAGCGTCAGCAATACCATTGGCCAACGGATCTTCTGGCCCTACCACTACTAGAGTCACACTTTCCTGCTTACACCACACAGCTACAGCCTAAGAACACAAATGAGAAAAGTCCTTTAGCTATCAATAACGATAGTATAATTTGTTCTTCCTTCAACGTTCAAAGTAGAAAACAACATGGACCAGTGATCAAGCCCTTAGACATCTAGATTGTGTAAACAAATTAATTAAGTCTTCTCTGAATACAATGTTCTTCAGGAGGGCTGATTTTTGTACCAAATTACTATTTTTTTATAAAACAAGAAGAGATACGAGTATTTAACTGTAGCTAAGTTGTTTTCTTTCTCTGATCATCTAAAAATGTTTTTGAAAAGTAAATTAGAGTTATACTTAATGTTGTTATAATGGTTCAGACAGATGAGAAGAAAAGGGATATATTGATGACTCATACTCACGTTAAAGTTTTTGATATCAAGATTCACAATCACAGCCTTTTTTAACTTTCTGATGCCAACATTTCCAGGAGCAGCAAACACCTTGTTTATCTAAACACAACACAGTATTTGGTTACCTATGTGAGAAGACTTAGGCTAACTACTTTTTAGAAATCTAAAACAAAATAGTTTACAGGTTCATTTATAATCCATTTTAATATAGCACTTCAGAATGCTGTACGGTACTGTATAATACAGTTTACTTTATGGTCATGAAACATCAATTACTAGTGGCATGTAGGGACATAAGTCCCTAAAAATCTCAGATGTAAAACAAATGGTTATTTCACAGAGATAATTAAGTTACAGAGGAAACATTCAATGGTACACTTAAGTGGTGTCTTAAGAGAAAGTCCAACACCCCTCTACCATCCCCCGCTTTCATATAGAGCTCACAGATTTCCACACAGTGTTAGTCGCTCCGGCTCTTCCTTGCTCATCAAAAGTATATTTCCGAAAGCGCTCAGTCGTCCTATAAGCAAGTTGTAGGCTACCTTATTTCTCTGTGGTTATTTTTAGAGAGATTTGATTTACACTTTCAGCTTTACCTTAGTAGATTGAGAGAGTTTCCAGCACAGAGCATGCTCTCGGCCTCCACTTCCAACCACCAAAACATTCTGACTCATCTTGACTTGCTTCTGTAAAAAATGTGTTTAAGGATTATATTGCATGGCATATTTAAACCTCGCCTTCAGGTTGGAAAGAGGATTTAACTTAACTTACACAGTGAAAAAAACCAATGAGAGCGGTCTCCAAATCGTAAATCAGATTTTGAGATTTTACATTTAGACAGGGTGTTGTTGCTTTTTATCATTGAAGATTTTATAAATTGTAGGATTATTTGATCAACCAAAGGTTAAATTAAAAAAAATAGCCTACAAGTTCTTCTTTTATATTAGTAGCGATAGTTTTTTGTGTGTATTATAGTAAATGAATTACTTAATAAGATACAAACGCTCATAGACCATCAGAGAGTAAAACATGAATTTATCATACTTTGTGAAGGCTAGATAATTCATTACATAACCAAATTTTGATGATAAAGCTGCCTAATTGTAAACTTAATTAAAATATTGATCTGGACTGGATTTATTACCACAGTATTGCAGTTAATATAATTTGTAATTGAGTCCACTTACATTGCGAAAGACAAGCAGCAAAGCAAAATAAAGTTTTAATTAAATTATGTGAAGTTAAGTTAACTGATTGAAACGCGGCGTTTCCCGTTTGGCGTCTGCTGGCGGCGCGGTAACCCTGGTAACTATCAGCTGGGAATGAACACGAAAACAAGATTGACGCACGTGTGACGCTATGACGACAGACGATTAGACGAAGACTGAGAGCGAGGACATACAACAGCAACGAAGATTACAACTTTATTTTGATTCATTCAATGAAATGGGTGGGTTCCATAATATCGACAACCGTAGAAATTGATCGAAACTGAATTATTCCCAGTTTGTCGACACTAGAATATTCCCACTTAACCGACATCCCAAATAACCGACGTCGCAAATGATCGACACCACAAATTGTTGACATCCCATATTGTCGACAATGAAATAGTTTCACTATGTCGACACTGAAATAGTCCCAGTATATCGACAAGCTCCCGTTCTTCGGAGCTACTCTTGAAAAAGAGTTGTTCTAATTCATCGTTCAGTTCCTCAACTCACGAGTCGCAATATTTAATTCCGAATTCCGACGGACAATGAATAATGATAAGCTGGCCATTTTGACTAAGCATTAAGTTATTATTAACCTAACTTTTATATTGTAAATATTTATCTTTTTTATTTCTTTCCTTGCTTACAGGAAAATTGGTGACTCGTGTGTTACAAACAATAGTTTTTAAGGGAAAAAATGTGAAATAATTTGTATAGGTAGGTTATGTAGGCTAATCAACATGATAACAGACACTTTAGGTAAGTCACCAACAAGAAGGTAAAGTAGTAAGACACCAACAAGAACTTAAGATACAGCTTATTCGTAGGCTAATTCTGAATCATCAAGCAATATTGTAGCAAATGTTTGAATAGGCATAACTTATCCCTAGGCTAGCCTATTAGGATTGTCTCTTATTCCCATTGACCCAGTGTCAACTTTAAGAATTTGTTTATGTAAAAATAATTCGGCTGCACTTTAGTTTATGTCCTTTATTCACTCAAATGAAAGATAATACATAAGTTAGACTATTTAATATTTTGAATATTTCATTCCGTTAGTTAGGTTAGGTTTCACCCTAACATTACCCAAAATTGATATAGGCCTAAGTTTATCGAATGAAATAATCAATATGACTGGGACGGGTGGCGTCGTCCTGTAATCCAGCTACTAGGAGGTCACGAATTGTGGATATTTATAGGCATGCACTGTGGATACGATACTCCCTGGTGTGGATTAACGTCCGCTTGAGTGAGTACTACGACTATCCGCAGTACTATCCAGATAATTAGACCAATTCGTAAATAGACCAAGGCAATAATGTGGTTCGGATTCCACTAAAACTGTAGGTCCCTTAGTTGCCATTAGCTGTATGGGCTATTAGCCTAATTAACAGCTGTGTCTAAGGAATGTCGGCCTTAGTCACTAACAAGACTACAAGATCGCGCCACTCATCCTGATCCTACACTCATTTCCATTCGTACTTGGCTTAAAATACCTACTTTGTATGGTCGCCAAGTAATAAGAAAGAAAGTATTAAAGAAATATATTCATTGGAATGAGTGTAGGACGTAAACTTAAGTGCTGTAAAATATTCTAGAGCTGTTTGTATTTGGTGTAAGACTAGACTTGGATTATATCATTCATTGCTGATGACATCAATGTTAATTTTATAGATGATCCTGGAGCAAAGGCTGTAATTTGACCTGAACCCAAATTGGTCTCTATTTTAAATATTGTCTTGAACCAATAAGTTAAGAGGACTAACCTTTCTGGACGACATTGCCATCGACATCACAGCAGATGAGAGAGAAAGAGAGACCAGAGTTGTGGACCCTGGAGGCAATTACCATACTGCCGTGATAATGTTCCTTGGTCTAACCATAACTTAAGTGAGGTGAGTCAACATTCTTTCCCCTTTGTGATAGATTCTAGGCTATGTTTGTTAACTAAGTTATTCAAAGTTCAAATCGGTACTTTGGTAAGTGTTATCCGGAGGCTACAGATAGGCTATACAGCGCTTTGTGGCGGTTATGTTAGGTTGGATTATCATAAATGGAAAGAACATTTTTATGTCCTAGGCCTACTGTCCATATTTGGGTGGGTTCCATATTATCGACAACCATAGACACTGATCCAAACTGAATCATTTGCATTTTGTGTTGAACAGAGTTTGAACAACTAATTATTTATATGTTTTATGGTAACTGTAGGGAAAATATAATGTGTAACACAAGTGCAAACTGCCATTGCTGCACTCGACAAACTTTCCACACTCGCCTACGGCTCGTTTGTAAACATTTCTCTCATGTGTAGCAAAGTGCCACTTCGCCCACTAGTTACCTACACAAATAAACTATTATTAATAGTTTTTGGTGGAACATAAGGATAATTAATCTTTATGCAAATTTATAGTTTTTTTATAAACATTCAAAACTAGGCCCCTACTTGAAATGCATTTGGATTACATCTCGAAACATGTTGTTTGGAAATGTCTTAATTAGGCTAGAGCTTGCATTTTTGCAAATTGGGAAATAACAAAGAATTAATGTTGAACACGTTCGCTACCGAGCGACGCTCATATGCGTCGGTCCGGTCACTCCTACAGACCAAAAGGAATGATCATGACGTTGCTTACAGACCAAGTGATATAGGAATAACATTGCCAACAGACCAAAAGAGAAATATCGTTTAAATGGACTAATTGACTTCATATTGACCTTAAGTGAATTAGTAAGCAATAAATATTGTTTTTATTTATCGTTTTGAGCAAATTTTAAAACGCCGCATATATGCGTCGATCAGTCTATTTAATAAAATCCAGATAAAAAGATTACCTACATTTTCGTTTCAATAGACCAGGCGACGCACGTTTAAGCGTCTTGTAAATTTGTTTGTTTCAAGCTTTTACTCAAACAAATAAAGAAACTCCAAACACTCGCCAAAACTGCAAAGGTTATAACGTTTACATCTGTTCTGAGATGTCGCGGAATGCACAATGTAAACAACAATGTTGCCAACTGTTGTGTGACGTAACCAATCGTCATATCCACAGACCAAGCGACGCACATTCGCGGCAGATATCCCTCTAGACTGATACGATAAAATCAGGGCTTTAAAATAGACCGTTGCTAAGAAATACGCTGATTAATAACATTGAACACCGACGCAAGTGTGTGTCGTTAGTCTATTTCAATATGATCAGCTGACGCAAATATGCGTCGGTGGTCTATTGTGAGAAACGAGTCGACGCACAATTGCGTCGCTGGTCTATGCGAACGTAAATTTTATATAATTGTGGTAGCGAACGTGTTAAACCAATTTATTTTGTCTAAACCAAATTATTGTTACAAATTATAATATTTGTACTAACTTGACCCAGATTTGCTCAAACATTTTCCTATTAGCTGTACCTATTTGAATATCACAAATATAGAAAGGAGTGTACAGACTTGTATTATTTGTTGGACTCAAAGTATTTGTATAACACTATTTTTTGCAATATTTCTGTACAGAACTGAAGCCTACCAGTAAAATGGGGGCGTTGTAATTAATATCCTCCGACATTGGAGAATACAGGGGAGAGGTGTCAGAGGAAGAGGAGATGGAGGATGGGGCGAAGTAAAGACTAAGATTGAAGAGAACTAACTAATGGTAAGTTTTGCCATTTACTTAAATTTAATACTTATAAATCCAGGGCCGTGTCCCCAAGCCTATGTCGCATAACCCTCCTGAATTACTAGTATTTAACCAGCATTTTAACTGGAGATGTGCCCAAAAATTTGCTTTTGTTTTTTAGGAAATGTAGGCTATATTTTACGACTACCCACTGGTAGTCGTAAATTTCGATCACGCAATCTTTGCAGATGCTTTCGGCTATCATGAGAATACAAGACAAACTTGGATTATTGTACCCCCTAATTCTAACAGATTGTGGGAAAATTTTCCAAGAGAAAAAGCATTCTTTTGACGTCCCAAGTGAGTCCCCTTCCCAGGCCGAAGCCCTTGGCAATCGCAGTGTCCACCGTTAGGGGAATACGGCCCTGATTTGGAGGCCTATGTTGGTGTGGGGCCTGGTGCAAACCCCCCCCCCTCAGTACGCCACTGAGTACATTAAATAATGATAGAAGTATGCATAAAGATTCTTGTTCTGTTCAGAATACTGTTTTTAATATTAATTTTTGTTCTGTTATATCCAGGCCTGATGACAGCGTGAATGGCGATGGAGGCATGGAGGTTGGGGGAGAGGAGGCTGAAGAAGTGGAGACAAATCAGTTTAGATCCATTATGTTGATTAGTTTAACATTTATTTTGAACATCAGTATTTAAATTTTTTTCTCATTTAGATTATTAAATTGAGATAATTTTATTGTTTTTATGAAGATGTTTTCTTACATTTTTAATATTTGTTTGTACTTCTGCCTGGTAAAAAAATACTGTTTTCCTACAGTTACCTAACAATGTACATGTTCTCTCACTGATTTGAGAAAGCAAAGTGGCCAATTCGCTCATCAGTGAGACAATGTTAACATTGTCTCACTCTAATTACTTTGTCTCACTCCAGATTTGCAACGTGAAGGCACAAAATAGTGAGCGCGTAACATGCAGACAAGGTCGTATGTGCGCGAAATACGTTGGCAGCACTGGCTGTAAATCAGCTGGTCAGCTGTTTTACTGTTGTATCATTAAATGTCATATTAAAAGTTCACTTCTGTGTAAAAATATGTTACGTTTCTTTACCAATTTATTTGTTTTATGGCAACTGTAGGAAAAATATAATGTGCAGCTCGAGTGCAAAGTGCAATTGCCTCACTCGAGAAAACATTCCTCACTCGCCTACGGCTCGTGAGTAAGTATTTCTCTTGAGTGAGTCAATTTATCACTTTGCTCACTAGTTGCACAAATAACTATTATTATCTTTGTTAAAATGATTACTTTCACTAACTGACCTTGTCTTGGGTAAAAAGAGATATCTTGATATTTAACTAGCAGGGTGCCTGTTCTATGGGCGGAGATTGTATAAGTCAGTAGAAACCTTCTTATATTTCGATACTTGGTAAATTAATCATTTCCA